ACACAGTCTTTTAACCATTATGTTTATCATCTTCCTGAGGTGGAATGTTCCATTTTGTGAAAGGGAAGTAATGAAGGTATGTTCTTTGTAGATTTCATGTGTTAGGGAAAAAACAGACAAAACAAAACAAAACAAAACCTGGTGTGTATATAATAAGTATTACATTGGTTTGTTTCATAATGGACTTTGCTCTCCCCCTGCTTGTCTCCACTTGTCTGAATTGTTACTGGCTTAAATACTGTAGTTCACATTTACCCTTGATTGTTTATTTATTTATTTATTTACTGGTCAGTTCAGGTAGTCTTCCGTTGTTCCATCATAAAATACGTGAAATGTAAAGCTGCATTTTTAGTTGTGCTATTTTGGGCAAAAAGTGTGGAGTTAAAGTTGAGGAAAAAGAAATTCATTTTCAAGTGAAGAGATGAAACAAGTAGAAACTCATTTTTGTACCAAAAAATTTACATTTGGAGAAATTTCAGCAAATGAAGTGGGAAGTTTAAGTTTTATCTTATCCCTAAACAATTCATTATCTGAAAGGGATGATAATATAATAATTGCAGAAGTCATCTTTGGATTTTCTCAGGGCAAGGCTCTAGTAAGTAGCAAATACTAAGTTGGACAGCACTCCAAGTCTTGGCTAGACCTGCAAGCATACTTTGTAGAGATGTTAATTTGATCCAATTAAAATCTTTGGGTCCTTACTAGCTGCTTCTTGGCCATAATTTTGTATCATCTGTAGTTGTGAAGCACTGATCTGTGTCAGCATATTATCTATTACTAGTTAATACTCACTGCAACTCATTGCAGACATTCTCCAGAGATTATGGCACTTCTCTATCAGATTCTGGGATTCATTAGAAGAGACTAGTCTAAGTTTTATTCTTACATGTTAAATAACTTAAAGGCATATTATTTTTCTGGCACCAGACTTGCAATTGTCTTTTTAGCTTGACTTATTTCTAGCATGTTCTGGTCTGACTTGGGCATCCCATTCTAAACATGGATGGGATTTGAAAGCTGTAATACTTTTTTTTTTTTTTTTTTTTTTTTTACATGAAAAGCAAATTTTTATGTCTTTATATCATTTGGAACCCAGAAATAATATTCCAGTATTTTTAAAGAATTATTTTCTTTAAACAAGACATGAACATTTTGTAGTGCTGGGTAGGTTTTAGATTTCACACTGTTTTCTGCATAAATCAGGTTCTGTATTGACAAGAGCACAAACTACATCAGGCATTCAGATGGAAGTATGCCACTAACATCAACAGAGTAACAAAAGGTAAATTGGTTCATTACAGATACTGCTGTACAAGAAAAAGAGGGTATTTCAAGAGCTAGGCTGGTTGCTTTGAATGGAGTTCTGGGAGTTATCTCCATTAGCATCTGGTATTGCAGAAGGAAATGTTTCCATGAAAGTGGCTGCTACAAAATTTACAAGGAAAGCCTTCTTGGTTTACTAGAAAATATATCAGCTATTTAAACTAGGTAGTACTGAGAATTATGGGTTTGGGATTTGTTTGTTTGTTTGTTTTAGAAAATCTGTAAGTCCATACCATGGCTCTACAATCAGTTCTCAACCAAGGCGCTTCTTTGATAGAAACGTGTCTATATATTCTCAGTCATCCAGTAAAACCTTTATGCTTTTATATGAAGTTTATTCTGTAAGAGGAAATAATGGAACACTGAAATTTTATTTTGAATAAAAGGTATTTTAAGTAGTATGGTTGTTTTCCTCAATACCTTAGCAATATTAATTTGTCTGCTCTTTTGCAGCTTTGAAATCTTGCAGAGGAAGGCTAGAGCCCTAGGCATTTGGCAGCGTCTGTAGCATTAATGGCACTCAGCACTAACCACAGCATGGTGGGAGGTTAGCAGGGACCTCTGGAAGTCTGCTGCAGCCCCCTGCCCAGGCAGGGCCACCCAGAGCACGCTGCCCAGGACCACATCCAGGCGGTTTTTAAACATCTCCAAGGAGGGAGACTTCATAGCCCCTAACTCTGTAACTCCAGTGCCAGTGCTCAGTCATTCTCACAAGTTCCTGGTGTTGTGACAAAACATCACGTGTTTCAGCTTGTGCCCTATTGCCTCTTGTCCTGCCACTGGGCAACATTATAAAGAGCCTCACTCAGTTTTCTTTGTAGCCTCCCTGCAGGTATTTGTATACACTTGATAGATCCCCCCTGAATAAGTTACGTAGCATTAAACTGAACTGTTGGTATCAGCTGCTCTGTGGTCTTTTTGTGCTATGTCTTGCTATGCAGATGCATTTTCATGACTTCTGTCCTGTCTCCAAGTACACTGTACTGTCTTTTTGCACACTTTTCAAAACCATGATATTTGAGTTTGCTTTCAGTGGTACCTTGCATTAGATCCTCCAGCTGTGTTTTAAGGAGCTTTTTCATTTTGCCAGGCAGTTTTCATTTTGCCAGCCATTTCATTTTGCCAGTGGCAATGAAACTGTGGCAAGGAAGCATCAAATGGAAGATGAGTGTTTTTGGTGTTTAACAGGGAAACTATGTTAGTAAAAGAAACATGGAAGCAGCCATTTGAAGATACAAATCCACTTCTCTTGGAGAAAGAGAAAGATCTGGTAGTAAGGCTTGACGTTCCTGGAATGGTACTATTAAAGTAGTTCTCCATCAATGCTGTAATGTTTTTGTGCTGTAATCTAGTATATATGCAACTTCTTCAGTTTCTGGACTGAAGGTTGGTTGTTTTTTTACTATTTGTGGCAAGTCTTAAATGATCTGAACAGTTGGAAGCACAGGAGTAAACTTAAGTAGAAAGATGAATTCAGGGACACCAAGGGAACAAAAGGACAAGAGTCATGTGTGTGTGTAGGAGAGATAATGATCTCAACTCTTTGATATATCAATGATTGTTTTAAGGTAATTGTACAATAACTATAGTAATTCTACAGGCAGTAGTCTAAAAATACAAAATTGGTGTATCGGGGAGAACTCAAACCAAAAATCCAGTTAAATGCTGTCCTGTTTTTTTGTTGTTGCTTGGTTGGTTGGATTTTGCTCTCTTGTTGTTGTTTTGCTTCTGAATCTTTTGTTCTGCATTCAGTTCTACCATTATGATCATGTAAATCTGCCAGATAATAATAGTTACGTGGAGAGCCATTAGGGGGCCATATGTATCCAACTTATTTATAGACTGCAGGGGTTTTTGTTTGTTATTTTTTTTGTGTTTTTCAAATAAATCAACTTGGAAAACTATAGCCTTGCATATGTATATTGCCTGTGTGTATATGTAATCTTAATTTCTTTCCTTTGTTCACCTTTTACTGATCACATCTGTATATCGAAGGTTGTCATAACTGAATGATGCACCTTTTTGGGGAGGCATTGTGGTACATATCTCTTAGCCTCTGTGACAAGTTATGTATATTTAAGAATATTTAAAATCTTGACTATATTGTCATTTTTTTTCTGTAAATTTTATTTCTCTGTAAATTTCTTAATCTGTATATTAGATGGGTTATATTGCTACCATTTTTCTACAGTTTTAACGTTCAGTCAGTGAGTACTCGGGGAGGACATTCTCACGTGTAAGATACCAGAGACCAAGGCTCACCTTACTGCTGTCACACAGATGTGCTGCTGGGCAGACAAGCCTATGCTACGGTATTGTGGCAAAGATGCTGGAAGCACAGATACAAATAACCAAAACCAATAAGCTCACTGTATAGCACAGCATTAACCTGGTTACTTTGCTCATAATGCTTCAACTAGTTGATCTAGGGGTAACTTTCTATTGTGCTGCATAGACATACCTTCTGTTTCAACTTGAACATGCTATTTAGTCCTTCAGTACCTCGGTCTTCCCTTTTCAAAAAGGGAGTCAGACTTATCTTAAATTAGTATCCCTGAGGAGTGAAAATTGCAAGGAGAAAGGCCATTTAAATAGGGAGAGCATATATACATTAAATGTAAATATGATGTAATACAGGCATTAAACTCACATACAGGAAATCTGGCAGAAGAGCATGACTTTAGACACTGCAGAATATTTGAACTACTTATGTTATGCCTTAGTAGGTAAGTTTGTGACAGAGAAAATGTTAATTATTCATAGTGCTTTGCTGTACCATAAAACTTGATTTATTGAGACTATAATTTGTTCAAGTTGCATGTAGTAGGAAAATATATCAGAAGTAATTAATTGTATTCAGGATGCGATGAGGTAGATCTATCCACAGAGGACAATTGAAAACAGTAGCGGTGTGGTATTGATTGCCTTTCAGAGGGAAAAAAAAATCTTGTCCCATTTCTAAATGTTAACAATTCAGAGAGAAAAATTCCCACTTGGGAAGAATGCTTTCCAGGTTGCTTCATTGCCAGGTGTTTGACATTGAGTGGAGCCTTAGATGAATGAAGCTTATGGCAGCTTTTGGAAATGACCGACTCCGGGGAATCTCGGCTTCCTGCTGTGAAAGTTTCTATTTTCAAAGCACATCAGTTTCAGTGGGAATGTTCCAGTGGTCCCATATGCTACTTCTGACAGAGAGGGAAGTTTTTAACCTGAATATGAGACAGCTACTGAAGAGCTTCCCTTGCTGCTAACAAAATGAATTTCAATATGTTGCCAATGAGCAAGCGGTATGTTCCCAACTGCTGATGGAATTTAAGTCCATCAATTATTAATGGAAATTTTGCTTTGTTTTCCTTTTTGTCTTTTCCCTTTTAACTCCAGTACCTGCTACTGCTAGGACTTCGCAGGTTCTGAAGCTGAAAAAGAATCACCCAAACAATATGCTAGTTTGCTTTGAAACTCTTGCTATATTTTCCTCCCCTCCCTCGTACGCTCTCTCCTTGACCTAGCAGCAGGAAGCCTTTGTCTGAGGTGTTCATCTGGAACAACTTTTCCACACTTGTTTTCATGTTCTGTTAGATTACAGGGCAGCAGGCCTACCTTTGAAGCTCCCTTCTCTTTTGTTTCTTTGCAGTGCACTCCAGTAATTAACTTTGTCCTTCTTTTATTTGTTCCAGTCAATCGCAGTCCACTCTGCTGAGCATCTTCTCCCAGGAGTACCAGGTTAGAAGTTTTCTCCTTTGTGAGGGTTGACAGGTGCCTAATTGAATGATGAATGTCCCTTTATTTCTTTGTAATTGAACTGCCAGCTTTCTGATTGGTTTGGAGGATGTTCCCTTTTCCACATCAAGTACCGCCTGAGTCTCAGTGGATGGCTGCCAAGCCTACCCATCCATCTGTCTAATAACATCTAGCCTTTGCTTATTTGGTGGACCTGTAATAAATTATGCTAAACCATTATTATTCTGACAATAATAATTTCCCTGTGTTGCGTGGTTCCATGTGCTAAATGTTTGCTGACTTGCACTGTCAGTGCTGCTTTCCATTGCTGACAGAGATGATGATAAATGACCATTGCCGGAGTGGCAGAAGGCAAGAGAGGCAGAAAATGGAGTCATTTATCATGAGATGACAGGTGTCAGTCAAGTGGCAAGTCTCTATGGAATTACTTTTTGTAGTTTTTCAAATAAGTTGTTTTTAAGCAATGTTCTTCCTGGTTAAAAATGCCAATTGAATTGTAAAACTAGAGTGCACCAGACTTAGATGGAATTGAATTGAGGGAAAATTAATACAAAGGTTGAAAGAGAGAACAAGTTTTTCTTTGCCCTCTGCAGCCTTCAGTAAACTTATTTAGATTCAATTATTGTGACCTTATTGGCTTTTACATATATGGTACATTGCAGTACAGTCTGAAGACATTCAATTCAATAGGTAGATTGAACATCATTTCTGTATAGAATCTAAAAAAGTAGTTCAGTTTATATATCAAAGTGTAGCCAAGAAGCATGTGTTTGGACAGTCATGATTTCTGTGTTTTCATCTGTGACACATTTGTATGAGCATTTGTTTTTCTTTTGTTTTTCTAGAAACAAATCAAAAGAACACATGCCAAGCATCACACTGCTGAAGCTGTTGAAACTTACTACCAAAGGTATGACCTCCCCGCCTCAGTTAAGAGTATCTTCGTAACTACTAGTTGCTATGGCAATTACAAGTAAATTAGCTTCTTAGTTTATGAAGACAATTTTTGTATTAACCTAATTTTTTTTTTTTGTGAAAGTGCAGAAAATTTTCAGGTTCTGGTCAGGCGTATCAAAAGAGTTATACTTCCTTGGCTTTAAGTCCAAATAAGCAAATATTATTCTTTAGAGTGTATGTGGTAATGTTCATTATATATTGCGTATAGTTTCTAATTATGGGATTTCAGTATGAAGACTAGCATTGACGATAAATTCCTTGCAGTGAGGAAGCTTCTTCTGTTGCAGTTGCTTGTACTTTTAAAAACAATAGTTGTATTACATTACAAAAAGTTACATATTAAATTAGTCTATTGCCAGCTTCAATTTTTAGATCACTCCTGTTTTATCAACAGAAGTGTCAGAAATAGCTTTTAAAGGAGAATGAAAACCTTTATGTTATTTTTACAATATTCTACAATTATTTACATCTTAAGCTAATCAAATATTTGCTACCTCTTATAGTTTGTCTGCTAGTTCTATAAGCTTTACTTAAAATATTGCAATGACATAATTGGGGCATAATGATAACTGATAAAAATATGCAATTAAAATATTACTTTGTAGACTGACATATCTGAAGAGCTTGCATGGCAAGTGAGTTCATACTTGTGATTATACATGTCTGATATTTATGATTAATGTTAATCTATGTGAACCAGGAAAATGAACAAAAAGCCTCCATTTGTAAACAATTAACTCCTCTGTGCTTCTGCAAAGTCATATATTTAAAACCTAAGGGCAGCCTGATGATACTAGACACTGGTTTAGAAAATCTGGTGTGAATTGTGCTCTTTTAGGGGCTTGATTTTCTTTATTTTAGTAGTTGTATTGTTGTGTAAAAATGTTTCTGTGATGATAGTGTTACCAGTTCCATTAAAATAAACCTGGAACACAGAACCAGGTTTTGCTTTTGCAAAGTAGAAATGTTAAGAGCACCAGTAGGGTTGTAGGTATGTTTACGTTTGGTTCCCATCAGGTAGGAGGATCTATCTCCTGTCTCCTCCTGCACTGTCTGAAGTGTGATAGCAGTACATAGCTGATGCATTATGTATGAAGCTATATGGTGGTGGTAGGAAAAATCATTATGCTATTTCTGGGTTTTTCATATTGCAAATATATTAGCATGGCCAAGTAGAACGCACGTTTTCAAATCAGAGATGTTCTGGTTAATAGTTAGAAAACTCATCTCAGTCCTGTTTTAGGAGATTTACAGTGTAGTAGGTTTTGTAAGCTGCAGTGGCAGTGTTCTTGAGTCAGAAACCAGTTTGAAATGCTACAAGCATAAACATGACACATATCTTCTGATCTATTCTTCTGTGGCATCCATCAGTTGTACAGTGTGCGTGGTATTCTCCTTCCTATTCCCTCCCACATACAAACAGATAATTGTGTTTCTATTGCTTTTCTCTGTCTGAAGCTATTTTTGAATGTAGTCATTTCCAGTGGTCCCTGTTAGAAGCAGGTAGAATTGCAGTTGAGTGGAGTAGTTCATGCTGTTCTGCGGAGACTAAATTTGGGCAAACAAAGCCAAGTTACAAGAAGTTTCAATGAACTTTTCAGAACAGTATTGCCATCAGCATGTGAAACCTGTTAGTCCATAATGGAATTGCTAGTAGCATTGGAAATAACTGAGAGAAAATTACTCTGTTATTAGAGGTAGCTTTGGCATTCAATCAGCTTCATGCATGTTTTAGAACATTAGTAGTCTCAAGCAGTTCTTCCTGGTTAATTATTTTGTTTGTGAACTCGTTTTTTTCCCCCCATCCATTATAAGCTTTTTAGTGTTTAAGTACACATGAGGCATCTTACTTTGTGTTTTTATGTAGGTTACCTTTATTGCTGAAAAAGGTTACAGCAATAAGCTTCTATTGTTTCCTTTATTCATTAAGCCCCAGAATAACTTGCAAGCAAACAGGCCTCTCATCCTCTGCAGTTTCATGTAGAGGTTTTACACCCATTTCACAGAAAGTTAACATGATTAAAAAAAAACAAAAAAAAAAAAGTCTGTAACTAATGAGCAGGAGAGGCTTCTGATAGATAGATAATGACAGAGGTAGAAAGGCTGTGGCCTTCTAATGATGTCAGTAATGATTTGCTATATGAATAAAGATACGATAAATGAGCAGGTTCAAATGTTGATAACTATTGTTCTTTTCCAGATGGCTACAAAACACAAAGTGGCTTCCAATAATATAACTTCCTCCCTGCAGATTCTGAGTATTGGACTTTCTGTCATCCTTTATAGATCCTAATTCTCCTTTTAATATTTCTTCCTTTAATATTTTTACAATAATAATTTAATTGTTAGACTCTGATTTCAGTGATATAAGCTTTTAGTATGCAAACTATTACCTACTATTACCCTGGTTGATAAAATCTGTGATAAAACTTTTGAGTGTACGTTTTTGTGCACAGTAGTAAATTGAATAAGATGTACAGTGTTTTGCACCTGCATAGTTGAAGATCAGATGGAACCCAAAATCTTTACTGGGAATAATAGAGATTTCTTGTCTGTTATGCATCTATAAATAATACAGGTATAAGTTATTTGTAGGATATTAAGCCACTTTTTTTTTTTTAAGACTGTTTTATTGATTTATTGTTTTTTTTTTTATTTTTTTTTAACCAATGATTTAATTGAGATTGATATATCTTGCAGATGAATAAATAGGAGGCAATGCTGGAGAGTTGGTGATTGTCTAAAATACTTATTTCTTAAAATATGTCTCATCAAATACTCTGCACTGGAGTATTTTCCCCTAAATGAAAGAGACTCACAGGGCATACTGATATGTATAAACTGGCCTTTTCTTGCCACTACAGAATTACCTGTCTTTGTCTTGTCTAGGTACCTGAATGGGGTGATGAAAAATGCAGCTGCCCCTGTGTTACTGGAGCTGGCCAATGAGGTAGTAATCTTCACTTTTTTCTTTAATCTTCCAGTGTAAAACCTAAGGGGCATATCTATAGTGACTTTACTGAGAAATGTAATTAACCTAAAAAAAATGGTTTCCAGGCACATTAGACATTTAAAATTGTTCCCCAGTCTGTTAGTACTTATAATAATTAGACAAAAGCCTCATTTATTAATAAATCAGTTAATGTAATTAGTCTTCTAACTTAAATGAGAATGTGTGAGAAACTCTGAATTTCTGTTTTGCTGGAAATTTCAGCCAAAACATAGATCTTTAATGCACAAATTTACTGAAGGTTCTTGCTAATTTGCTGAAAGTTCCTTGATTAAATGAAGTTGCATCAATTATTGTTGTTTCCTTGTGTTTAATAACAAACCCTATTTTAAGATTTATTTTTTTTTTAGTTGGAAGGGTTAAAACAGTTCATTTTCTTGACTCCTTTTATTTCTGTCCATACAAGTTAAGAGGATGGCTAATGAGGACTGCTTAGTGTAAAGCAATTAAGCAGAATAAATTCTTCAGTATAGCCATGTCCTAGAAAAGCTGATGTATGAAAAGTTTGGGACTGTTGCTATTAAAGTGATCTTCGAGGTCTCTTCCAACCTAGATGATTCTGTGATTCTGTAAAGTCTGACAAATGTATTGATGCTGTTCATTAGCTAGAATATGAACCTACCTTGGGATTCAAGGAAGGTGTTCTTTGCATTAAGAAATGTTCTCTAAAGCTACCTCAAAGAAGATGTAAAAAGTTTGAAAGTGTTTTGGCAAGCCTCCTAGAGAGAAAAAAAAAAATGTACCTCTTAAGTTCTAAAATATTTATTTACAATAGTAATAACAATACAATAGCTCCATGGAACTGCTTATGCAACCCTCAAAGGGATAGAATGAAATGT